TATAATAAGGGGCAAGGCACATTTGAATAGATCCTCGTCTCACCCCAAACTATCTGAGAGTATAATAAACGTGGCTAGCCAGAAGGACATCTGATAATAGCAGTGCGATTCCTGGAGACAGCAGTGCCAGGATGATTCCCATCAGCACAGTAAAGTTCATGCATGCTGTTGCCAGGACAGGTCTAGCATCATTATCAGTTTTAAAGGCCTGCTGCCCAGTCCCAGGCAGGACAGGGTTCTGAACCAGCGAGTGTCCATGCAGGGGAAATACGCAATGGATTTGCTTTGTCTTGTGTGTGTTCAGCTGTGTGATTGCTGTGATACCGGCACCTTAGACAGTGACTTATGCAGATATAAACAGGTGGAAGACATAAATCTCTATGTACTCTAACCTTGCTGCCGGGATGAAACTTCCCCAAACCACCTGAAATCCATTAATCCCTGCCTTATGCATCTAGTTTGTGCCCCGGTCTGTGACATCCATGCTGGCACCCGGGGGAGTTTCTAATTAATGTTGAAATTTTTCCTTCTCCTTTGCACAGCTTTTTCTGACTTTGCTCACAGTTACAGTATGAATGCTTTGCTCCTCTTATATGAGATGGACAAAATGGGTATTGAAATAATATTCCATATTCCTATTCAAAGGAAGTCAAGTTGTATCTTAATATCCTGTACCTGAGAGTATCATAGAGTCTTTGGCCTTTCTTGGGACCAGTCACCCCATCCACTGCTGTCTTCTCTTATGTCTCTATGAGTTATGATTTGTTTTCTCTTATTTTGTTTTTCTCTTTTTTTTTCTCTCCTTTTTCTTTTTGGCTGAATATTCCCCTTCTCTAGGGTGCTGAGCTCTGCTATGCCCTGTCTCCTTTAATTGATGGTGGGTGATGTATAAACAGCACAGAAGCCTCTCAACTAATTTCATATTATGTTGCCAAGTTCTGCCATCTCAAGGCTTGCACTTGGATCCTGGACAGCTTCTTTGACAGTTACACTGGCATGAGCCATATACAGCAGGTGGATCTGGATGCCAGATAATTTCTGAGTCCTCCCAAGTAAAACAGCACAGTGCAACCCGTTTTAGTGGGTGGCTGACGTGTAACACTTGGCTGTGAGCTGCACTACTGCCGGCTGTCTTATCTGATTCAATGTGGTGTCTGCTCCCTAGGGTTGCCTCTCAGATACTGTGATGACATCAGGAAGGATATGAAAACTGAGATAAAATGGTTCTGCTGACTTTCATTGCGCCCTCCTGCTTTCTCTGAGCCCACACTGCTGCATTCCCGAAGTCCCATGTGTGCAGCTAGAAATGTGCTCAGCATCACCACTACTTGGAGTAAGCAAAGATTATCTTCGGACTTGGACAGACAATGTGGGCTCTGGAGAAGTGATCTCCTATTTCCCATTTCCTCAGCAGTCTCTTGATTTGGCTACAAAGGCTGTTTAATCTTGGTTGAACCTGATGTCATCAGGCACAATTCTAAACAAGCCAGGCTTTAATTCAGCCATGGAGATCCTGACCAACCAACCTCCAGCTTTGCTGCTTGGACCTAAAGTATATCACTAGAGTCAATTTTCCAGCCTAACTGAGGCAAATTTGGAGCATTAAGTGGGCAGATGTCTTCAGGGGCTGGCAGTGCTGTCAGCAGATAGCATTCTTCCCTGAGCTTCCACCCGCATGTGGTTTTGTACTGCCTCTGATATTGGGCTATTGCCTATTGGACTGACCCTTTTCTGCATGAGATGCCATGCAAACCATGCTTTATACAGGATTTAATTCCTATGTTTAGACTTCTTGTAATGCTAGAAAACCTTACAATGATGGAGAATGTCCTTCGATAGAGGCTTATCTTGGAGGAATTTCCCTGCTATATTGCAAGAAAAAAGAACATCTCTCAATATCCTAGCAAGTGCTCTCTCATTCTTATTCAGTGAAGGTCTGAAGAGTGAGAAAAAAGGCAAATCAGCTTCTTTTTAATCTTAGTCTGATTATTAATCTGAGAACAGTGAATGAAGCATAGAGGTATGAAATGAAGTAAATTTCTCAGGGGAATCTTTTCCAAATCCTAGAAAAACTTCCCTTCTCACAGAAAGTTCTGTCCGGATGATTTTCAGGCTGCTTAGGTATAACTTCTAGAGCGAAGCTGACAGCACAGAGCCTGCTAGCCTGACACATCTGCAAGGTCAGAGGGGCTCACTTCAGAGGCCTTCATGAAACACAGTAACAGCAGTTAGGACTGGGTGAATTCAGCAGAGGAACCTCTTCTCTTTACCTGTGCTCTTGTATACCAATATCCATACTGAATGGAAATACAGGAAAGACAAAAAGACAGCAGTGCTAGTATGCCAGCGTCAGGTCTGGAGTGAGTATTTCCCTGGACACTCATCACTGATGGAATCTTGCTCGCATGTGCCTCCAGTACAGGCAGGTTTCTTAAATACCCTTGAAATAAGGCTGAAGTGGGGCATAAGCCTTGTGCTAGCCTTCAGCACAGGTGACAGCATCAGCTGTGGAAATAAGGGATGAGATTCTGCCCGTGCATAGCAAGGTTGTGCAGGCATAACAAAAAGCAAAGCTTAGTGCAAGTTTGCCTATACTGATCTGCAGGAAGGAGACAAGTGTTATTTGTCCATCACTTTCTCTGTAATTGCTTTATTTGGTGGTTTCATGACAGTATTTGGGGAAGCAGTTATGTGGTCAAATATTTTGGCTAGGTCTTCATGAGAAGGAGGGGAGGCAATGTGGCTCTAAGCCAGCCTTTGCAGCACACGCACTGTCACCCATGGAGAGAGAGATTGTGGGGTCAGAACTGCTGGGAGTGTGGTTATTGCATGAGAGCCAGCTGACCTTAGACAAAGCTACTTAACCCTCTCTGCGGTTTTGCTCTGAAAGCGCCCTGTTTTGTTTCTCTTAACAGTGCAACTTGCGGACGCAGGCCTCCGCACCAGCTACAGAGCAGCCTTCAAAAGGAGCCCTTCGCGCGGGCCATGCCCTGTCATGGCAGCTCGGCAGTGACCTGCCCGGGGCGCTGGGCACGAGCTTCGACAGCGCCGGCGGGGCGGGGTGGGCGGCAGGCCCCGGACCCCTGATAACGAGCCCA